ACCAGTGATGATCTTGACAGTGTTACGCACTGTGCTTTCCCCCAAGACCAGTGAGGAAGATGAAGTATTGGCTGCTGGGCTTGTGGACATCTCCCTGCCAGAGAGAGAAAAGAGGGGGATATATTAATCGTGTATATAGCATTATCTATGCTGTCAAATTGACTTATGGAGACCTTATAATGTGAGACCTCCAATTAACCCTGTTATCAACAGCCCTTCTCAGGTCTTGCAAACTCAGAGCCATGGCTTCCTTTATTGAGTCTATCCACCTGTAATGTGCTCTTCCTATTTTCCTACTACCTTCTATTTTCCCAAACATTTTCTAGTGAGTCATTTCTTCTCATGATATATCCAAAATACAAGTCTCAGCTTTAGCCATCTTGGCTTCTAGAGACAGTTCAGGCTTGATTTGCGTAGGACTCATATATTTGGTGACACTATCATGGAACATCCTAATGCCTTCTTCCACTCAAGTCTCAACTCCTAAATGTCACATTTCAGATTATTTTGTTCTTAGCTTTGGGAAGGAAATCGACATAGCACTTCATGCAGGAGAGAGCACATCTTCGCACTCTAGACTTCCTAGGTGGTGCACCACAAAACAATTGATCCTTATTGCACTATATAAACCATGCCCCTTTTGGGAACCTTAAAGCCATTTTGCACCATCAGGGTAGCTTTTCAAGCTCCCCTTTCATTTGCAGCCACTCGGTTTAATGGGCTGTCAGACTTTACAGCTGGAAGTGAAAACTATGCTGCAAGTGCCCAGCCAACAAATTGGGGAAATTGGATCTATTAGTAAAGAAGGCAAAGGTGGTTCCCACGCCACTTGTATGGTGAGTCTGTATTGGGTTTAAATCTGAAGTTTAAAGAAGCTATATAAGATGGTGAAGCTCTTTTGGGATATAGTTCAGCATCTCAGGTAAAACATTAAAAGTTTGGACTAAAATCCAGGGCAGACTACTGATATGTGAGCAACCAGAGGCCATGGGAAGAGAGGGTGATTGTGCACCCACCACCCTACACAACCTGATTCCTCCCCTCGACTCTGTAACTGAAATTCTCAAGAGCAATCTCAGTTGCTCTGGTTACGGCATAACTTCTACATAGCCAGGACTATTGCACAGAATGGAAGGGAACGTCAATGAATACGCCTCGGTTCAAAGCGAGAAAGTTGCCATGGGATTAGAGAGCGCTTCCGTTGCCAAGAGATGAGAAGAGAGAGGAGAGGGTGCAAGAGGACTTGGTGGTCCTACCATAAGGCAGGCTCAAGTGGCCAGTTTAGGCAGGAGTATGAATGCCACTAAAGGGGTCAGAGTGGGAAATGGAGAGGTTTGATCCATAGAGTACTTAATCCTCCCACAGAGGATTGCACAGCTCTCATTCATTCTGGCAAAGCCGGGAGAACTTTTCTACTCTCTGCTAAGTAGCACTGAAACCAAACATGTAGGAGCTTGTTAATGAATGAGACCTGCATAACCCCAGAAAAGAAATGAAGAACAGGAAGAATAATAGAAAAAAAGTATTCCAAAAAAAGTATTTGTAGACAGAAGCAGATAGGCAAATTGTAGTGTTTGAAATTGTAGTTTTGGAATGAAAGAGAATTTTCCACTTTGGAGGTTGGTTGGTTTCCTTCTTTCCTAAACTCAGTCACATACCATACTGCAGCATACGAGATTACAAAACACATGGAAATACAATTAGAAAGGTTTTCTTCCTTAAAAAGAAGTCTGTAAGAGGTACCGTAAATATGTTTTAAAATTCAAAAGCAGACTGTTTGCTCCAGTAAGCACCAGACTTAACACCACACTTAAAATTTCATATGACTTTAAAGTGATGGTGAATGTGATCTACTGCCTACCCCAATCACTTGCTGGGGAGGAGCAAGAATAGAAGGAATTAAGGACTGGCCAAAAGAAAAGATATGGCCCTGTCACTTTTGAAGGCTTCAACCCTGTACACCTTTGGCTGCAGTCCCAACAGTCTTCAGAAAAACCAATTTCACTACCTCTGCTTTAGCTTTGGGTACAGGTAACAGCATTCTTGTTGTTGTGTGCCTTGGAGTTGCTTCCAACTTACAGCGGCCCTAAGGCAAAGCTATCATGGGGTTTTCTGGGGCTGAGAGTGTGTGATTCACCCAAGGTCACCCAGTGGTTTCCCACGGCCAGCATGGTGTAGTGGTTTGAGTGGTGGACTGTGTCTCTGGAGACAACGTTCTAGATAGATCTTAGTGGTGAAGTTGCAGTTTTGAAAAGGATGGGGAGATAAAGAGATAAGGGGCTTGATGGATTTCTAATGTAATACTGAGTCTGGATTCTAGCATTTAAGACTGAGAAAATCTGCTGGAGTTCAGCTAGAGGAGACCATCAGTTTTAGCTTTCCTCCTTGCATCCCCACTGCTGGAGATTATCATAACGCTGTGATCTTGTTATGCAACGGTGGCTGCAGTTGTATTATTTACGTAGCTATTGTTGCATCTGGCCTCCTGGGTCTGGCTGAGACCTAGAAGTTCTCTATGTGGGTGGTGTTGTGTAACTTCTCTTCCATCTGATTCCAAGTGCTGCTTAACACTCAGAGGTCCATTACCTAGAAGCAAACAAAGGAGGGGGGAAAGCAACCTAGAGACAGAGAGACTATGATTCCCACAATAAAACAACAACAACAACAAACAGCAATCTAACACAGAACTTGGAATGAAAGCTGCATCACTCTTTCTCTCTGTATCACAAAACAATATTTGCTTTTTTCCTGTCTATCATGGTGCTGTTAAAGGCACAGGAGTTAGGCCAATGAAATAAAATAAAATAAAATTGGCAGCTCTAAAGGTAAGCGGTTGGGTTTTTTTAAAAAAAAAGTTTTCATTTTCCTAGTGCCTTTACTTCTCCCCTGCTTCAAGGATGAGTGGGAGACCTGAGGATCTACTGACCGAACTCTGGAGAGATTTAATTTTGGTTCTAATACAGCAACTGAATCTCTGAATTCAATTGTTAGAGTGTATGTGCCTTCAAGTTGCCTGTTGAGTTATGGTGACCCTATGGATTTCTTAGGGTTTTGGTGGTTTTGCCAATTCCTTCCTCTAAAATATAACCTACAGTACCTGGCATTCATTGGCAGTTTCTCATCCAAGCTAACCATGACCTAAACCTTATTGTTAGTACTTAATAGAGCAAACCCACTGAATCGAGCACTAACCCTGACCCTATTTAGCTTCCAAGATCAGGTGGAATCTGGTGTCTTTAGGGTTTTACTATTGTTAGCATACCTTTCAGCATTTCGCAGATAGAAACTGAGACACATGTGGTCAAGCAACACCAAAGTGTACTGGAGGTGGCAAAAATTGTTGAAGAACACACTGGCAAGGAGAAGATGCAGCAGTTTGCTTTAGCCAGAGCCTCCTGGGAAGGGCAAGACTCCACCCTTCCTCTCATCTCTCCCCTTCCTCATTGAGTTAACTGAGCACAAACTGCTTTTGCAGGAACTGAAGTATGCTGGGGACAAAGGGGAACAGTGGGAGGAAGAGAAAGAAACTGGGACATTTTAAAAGCAACTGAAAAAGTGGGAAGACAGAAGATTAACTGGATTATCCCTGCCAAATCAGGAGTACTGGAGGCTACATGTCAAGTCCCAAGCAGAGCAGAACCATTCAAAAGCTGGAATTGACATAAGTCTCACCAAGTAGCTATTGATCCAGTAGGTCTACTCTAGTTACAGTTTAAACCAGAGTGGGATGGAATTATGTGGCCTTTTAGAGGTTGTTTGACTACAATTCCCAGCAGATAGCCAATGGTGAGCAATGTTGGGTGTTGCAGTCCAACAACTTCTGGAAGGCTGCATGAACCCACCAGTGCTTATAGCCATTGACTCCACTTTCTTCCAGGTTATACTGCTGAAATGGAGAAATGATGAAGTGGGTAACCACAAATAGGCTTTTGTGTGTGCACAAGGACAGAGAGGCTTGGTTTGGTTCCAAAACTCAGAGTCCAGAATGTTTATGGTGCTCTTTTGCATAAGACTATGGTGGTCTTCTTGGGTTTCTAGTCAACCACAAATGAAAACACATTCAAAATTGCACACTTCTGAAGTCTGCCTGCCTCTCCTTTGCTTGTATATTTGCAAATAAACAAAATATTACAACGTTGCTGTCAGACGCTAGTGCCAAATGCAGGTTGCACTGTTCCTGGGGCTTCTTGCTCGCGTGAAAATAATGGAACATGTCATAACAATATCACCGTAGTCCCACTATTGAAAAGAACATGGCCTTTCAAAACTGAACATCAACACATTTCTTCTCTCCCACCCCATTTATCTTACACCTCCAATGAGAGTGAGAGATAAGGGACATGAGTAACTGGAGACACAAACTCTTAAAGGCCAGGTCAGTGCCACTGTCTTTTATCTTCCTAATTTTTATTTTAGAAATGAGAAAGCAGTCATACTGAGTGAGACTCTTGTCCCCCCCCTTTTTTTTAATTTCATTTCATTTCATTTAATTTTATTTATTTATTGCTTTCCCTCCATTTTGAGATGAGTCCAAAAACATAATTTTTGTGCTTCCCAAAGCATTGGTACATTTTTTTTCATTTTTTCCCCAAGGCAGGGCTCCCAGAACTGTGACTTTTTGGGGGATCAGCATTGGTGAGAGCCAGCATCGAGGAGTGGTTTGAGCATTGGACTATGACTCTGGAGACCAGGATTGGGCAGGTCACATTCTCTCAGCCTCAGAGGAAGGCAATGGCAAACCCCCTCTGAACAAATCTTGAAGGCACACAACAACAGTCTATACTACTGTAGAGCAGTCTATGCATATAATAGTTTTTTGTGGGTTTTTCGGGCTGTGTGGCCATGTTCTAG